GGTTAGGGTTAGGGTTAGGGTTAGGGTTAGGGTTAGGGTTCAGGTTAGGGTTAGGGTTAGGGTTAGCAACAAGTGTACCACATGAGAGTGACCAAGGTACCAGTCAGCTTCCTTTTATTGTAACAAACCTTTGGGATAGATCGGTTTGTAAAGAGAAAGGTCTTTCTTTGTGTCTCCTTTCTGGGGGTCTCAATCCACAATAGGGCGAATCCGTTGGGCTCAGAGCTCTGGTCATGTTTCTGGAGTTTCATGTCATGGTGGTCGTGTGTGGAATTGCAAAATCATTCACCTGTCGGCCAGAATGAGAACCTGGCGGAGGAAGAAAGTAAAGGGAAAGGGAAAGCAGAGGAGCTGGTGACCTTCCAGGCTCTGCAAGGGCCCCCTCCCGGGGCTGAAGACCTCCAGCTAGGCCCTCTCCCAGTAGTGCCAGCCTGGGGCCTCAGTCTTTCTCATGTGAGTCTTTGGGGGACAGTGTGGATGCAAACTGTAGCAGCGAGGAATGGTCCTGGTTTGCAGCAGAGCTGTTTGTCACACAGACAACTTCATAAGCATTCTATAAGGCTTTATTGTATAATGACAGCGAAGATTCCCTAGAGCAATGGAAGAAATGAAGGCACAGCTGGATCCAACTATGCTGATGTTCTATGGCGAACGCTATGCTGCAGAGTGGCTGCCCTCTGTCAGCCGTCACCCTGCGGGTTCCTTTCACGCTGCTTTTGTAGTAGGCAGAATTATGGTCTCCCAAATTGTCCACATGCTAAGCCCTGGAACCTGTGACCATGTTAGGGTGCATGGCGTCTTGGTCCATCTGTGCTGTTGTAAAGCAAATGCCACAGAATGGGATATTTAGAAGCAATGGAAATTTATTTCTCATAGTTCTAGAGTCTGGGAAATCCAAGATCAAGGTGTCAGCAGTTAGGGTGTTCAGTGAGGGCTGCTGTCTGCTTCCGAGCTGGAGCCTTGTCACTGTGTTCTTAGAGGGTACAGACGCTGTACCAAAGAGCAAAAGAGAATGAGCCTGCTCCCTAGGCCTGTGGTGTGTTTTTTGAGATGGGGTCTTGCTATGTAACTCTGCCAGACCTTGGCCTTGAGCTCACTTTGTTGCCCAGGACAGCTTTGAACTCACGGCAAACCTCCTGCCTCAGCCTCCCAAGTGCTGAGATTGCAGGCATACACCACCATGCCTGACTCCCTGAAGCCCTTTTATACGGGCCCTATTCCCATCCCTGGGGACCCTACCCATCACCGTGTCACCGTTTTTAAGGCCCCACCTCTTAATGCTATCCCTTTGGTGATTAAGTTCCAACATATGGATTTTGGAGGACACATTTAGACCACAGCACATGGAAAAGCGGGCTGGAGGGTGTGGTTGGGACTGGGGGTGCTGGGCAGCGGACTTGGAGCTGAGGAAAGAACTTCAGCTTATCCAGCAGGCCCAGTGTGACTGCAAGTGTCCTTCCAGGTACAAGACAGAGGCCAGACAGTCTGAGTCAGGGAGGGAGTTGAAGAGACATATTGCGCTGCTGGCTTTGAGGGGAGAGGAGAGCACACAGCCAGCAGTGCAGGCCGCCTCCAGGAGGCAGGAAGGGCGAGGAGCCGAACTCGCCCCGGAAGTCCCCAGGAAGGGATGCAGTTCTGCTAACATCTTGATCTTAGCCTAAAGAGGCCCATTTTGAGGTTCAGCCTCTAGAATGAAAGAAAAATGTACGTTTAAAACCACCAAGTTGATATAATTAGTTCCAACAGTAACAGAAAATGAGTCCATCACTCATTTTGAAGAATGACAAAGTATCTGAGACTATCACCTACTTTCAGATTAACCAGACAGCCTGTCACAGCTTCATGGGTGTTGGAAGAAGGCAAGAGTCTACTGGGTCAGAGACAAACAGCAACTTCGAACACATGGCAGCGGCAGCAGCCAGCAGAGTGACATTTACGCCAGATCCCACGGGGTGATAAAGGGAGGGCCAGGGACACCTGCACACACAGAGCGTTTGTTACAGGAAAAGAATCCCAAGCAAAAGGACCCCAAAGCCTTCAAAGTGGGCAGGAGGCATGCCTGCCTTTCGATCCCAACAGGCACACTACAGTTTCTGACATTTGCGGTTTGATGTACTGATTTTCCAGCTTTACAAAGCGGTGAGTCTACCCACACGATCATCCTCCCTCCCATTTTCAGCACAGAATTCAATAAATCGTATGAGACGTGCAGCACTTGATTGTGAGATTGCTCTGTGCGGATGACCGAGCCCAACGTAGGCTAATGTAACTGTCCTGAGCGTGCTGAGGGCAGGCGAGTGCTCAGCCACCACGCGCAGCGGGCGGGGGGCTATTCGTGCATTTTCAACTTAGTGGTACTTTCAGCTTCCGTTAGGTTTTCTGGGACAAAGCCTCAGTGTCAGCTGAGGAGCACCTGTGTGTCTTCCAAAGTGACAAAGCAAGCCTTTCTTCTGCCCTGGAAGGTTCCTCTCTCTTTCTGTTTTCTAAGACTGGTTGCTATATGAACATTATTAAACAGATAATCCGAAGGAAGTGCCACCAAAGCTGCCTCACACTGGATGCATTAAGTTGGATGTACAGAGATAGTAGCCATTTGGCAATACCTCACCGCAGAGAGAGCTAGAAATGTATTTCTCCTTTTCAGCTGGGCTCATTTCCCAAGTTTTGCTTCTAGGTATCATAAATTTTGAGAACCAAATGCCCAATAGTTTTTAGTCACTCAAAAAGAGTTGATTTAAACAGACCTTTAGGAGATTGTATTTTTTTTTGAGACAAGGTCTCGCTGTGTAATTTGGGTGGTCTTGAACTCATCATGTAGCCCAGACTGGCCTTGACTTCGTGGCAGTCCTTCTGCTTCAGGCACCTGGGTGCTGGAAGTACAGGTGTGCACCGCCATGCCCGGCCCCAGGAGACTGTATCTTAATGAGACTGTATTTCCAAAGCCATAAGAAGACCGTTAAAGAAGGTTTCAACTGTGCCCTTTCACAGCCCTATGAAAGTCTGAAAAATTGGCAATAATGCAAAGCTCAGAAAGAGCTGGACAGCATCGCACACACAGAAAGTATGGTGTGGAGGGATGTCTGGACACAAACTGGACTCAGCTGTGTAAAATCTATAGTTTGGCTGGAATCCAAGAAAAACATAAACAGTGGCACGTCAAAGCACCATCTATTTTCCCGTAAAGTCTTCTTTGATTGTGGTGCTGGGGGTTGGATCCAGGGCTTTGCACATGCTAAGCCAGTGTTCTCCCTTTTTTTTTTTAATTTTAATTTTTAATTTTTTTGGTTTTTTTCCAGTACTGAGAATCCAACTCACGACCTTGCGCTTGCCAGGCAGGCGCTGTGCCGCTGAGCTAAATCCCCAGCCCCTGGTGTTCTCCCACTGAGCAGTGTGCCCGGCGCTTTCCTGCAAAGCCCTGAAGTCAGTGAGCATTCAGGTTTTAGCTACAAGTTTATTTCATTTAAAAATTGTATTGTTATTGAGGTATCAGTTACAAATAAAAATTTATGTATTTAAGGAATAAAATATGATGTTATAATATACACAGAGTTGTGAAATGATTACAACCAAACTGATATATTCATTGCTTCACATAGTTACCTCTCCTCACGTGTATGTATTGAGAATATTTAAGATCTACGCTCAGCAAATTTCTAGTACGCAGTGCAATATCCTCAGCTACAGTCACCACGGTGTACACTAGATTTCCAGAACTGTTTATCTTCAGACTGAAAGTCTATCCTTTGACGAACAACCTCTCTCCCCCTCCGCCTTCCACTTCCTCATTCGCCGACACTTTGTGACCTATGTTCAATGCCATAAAAAGCATGAGAAGAGTGGTTTTAGCTTAAAGACTCCCTCAGTTTGAGTCAGACTACTCCAAACCAATGCAGTTTTAGACTACTTCAGTCAAACTACTTTTCACCTCCCCTGCCTAATTTATTTTTTTTGAATATCAGTACGAATGTTTTGGCATGAATTTCCTGTAGTTATTTTTCTAACACAGGGAGGGTGCTGGAAAGCTGAAGACAATGACAGTAAAACCACAGGACCTGAAATCTGCACGGTGTGCTCCCTCAGGAGG